CGGGCCTGGGCCCTGCTGCTCCCCTTACGCCAGAGCCGCCTTGGGCTGGCCCTAGGGGGGCTGTGGTGAGATTCTCAAGCTGGAAGTATAAGCGGTCCCCACATGAACAGCCAGAGGGTTCCAGGCCCCTCGCATTGAAGGTGGGGTTCCCACCAGGGCCCCCAGGGGGTGGGCTCCAGGGCCCCTGAGAAGCTAGTCACTGCTGGACCCTAAGCGCCTCCCAGACCCAAGCGGGCGCCCCGCAGCCACGCAGAGCCGCAGCTGGTGTGTTTGTGGTGAGCTGGGTTCCAGGCTGCTGGAGCAGGTGGTGACCACACTTTGGGGGACACATGAAATCCGGTGGGACAAGACAGCCGAGCACCAGGCCAGAGTTATCCTTTTATTTAACATTCAGAGGGGTAACACCGAGTGACGAGGTCAACAGAAGCCTTTCAGTGGCCGCTATTTGGTTTAATTCCCTCTCCAGAGACAAACTGGCGTCGGGCCTCCGGGCAGAGAAATGCCTCGGAGCTCAGTTAGTGCAGCGCCCCCGCAAGTTCCCAGGCGCTGGAGGGGGGTCAGGACAGACTTTCTGAGACTTTCCAAAGAAGAGTTTTGCTGGGACGCTCAGGAGGCGGAGTGGTCAGGAAAACTCAGGGCCGGCCCCGCCTACGCGGGTCAGCACAGCAGCGCAGGGGTGAGCAGCCCGGGGCCAGTGCAGGGCCCCCGGGGAGGCGCTCGCCCCCGCAGTCGAGGGGGGTGGGTAAAGACCCCGGGAGGCCGCTGAGGGGCTCGGTGCCTCTTATCTTTCCCCATTCTGCAGAGGAAGGGCAGACCAGTGGCAGACTCCCATTGGTTCCGATGCCCTTCTCCGGCCGGCTCTGAACCGAGGCCGCCCTTTGACGTCCCAACAGCCTGGCCCAGACCAGGAGGTTGGCGCTGCCAGGACCAACACCCCGTTTCTACTCCGGGAGCCCGGCCGCGAGGAAACATGCAGGTGACATCACTGTCGCCCGGGGACACCACACAGGCGGCCACTCGAGGAGCGACCCGCGGGGACACCCCTCTGTGCCCTTTAGCCCGAGGGCAGCACTGCAGGGGAAGGCGCAAGGGGCCTGGCACGCAGTTCTCTGCTGGTGCTGGGAAGCGCTCCCAGGCGGGGGCGGGGCTTCTCGGTGGGCGGGGCTTCTCGGTGGGGCGGGGCGACGGCTGCACCGGCTGCACCCAGGCAAGTCACC